GAAACCCTGTCTCTACTAAAAGTACAAAAATTAGCTGGGCATGGTGGTACATGCCTGTAATCCCAGTTACTCAGGAAGCTGAGGCAGGAGAATCCCTTGAACCCAGGAGGTGGAGGTTGCAGTGAGCCAAGATCACGCCACTGCACTCCTGGAGACAGAGTGAGACTCTGTCTCAAAAAAAAAAAAAAAAAATAGAACAGAGAATGGAGGAGAGACAGTGTTCAGAGACAGAGCGGCTAAGGGAAGGATGACTCTTCAGATTCAAGATGCGTAATATACTCTGAGCAGAATAAATAAAATATATCTACACCTAAACACCAAGCATCTTTAAAGTGATAAATGGCAGCCTATAGCAAATATCATCTATGTGTTGAAACCTCAAATGCCTGTAATATCAGGAACATATCAAGGAGACTACCTCTCCCTGTTTCTATCAATATTGTATCGGAAATCCTAGGTGAAGACCAACTAAATACAAGGAAGAAAAAGACTTGGAAAGGAAGAAACTAAATGATCATTATTTATACCTACTATTTACATAGGATACCTAAGAGAATCTACAAAAATACTATTAGGACTAGGAAGAACGTTCCACAAAATTGTTGATAGAAATCAAAATATAAAAATCACCTGTATTCCAGCAACAAATTTAGTAACATATTTAAATGTTTAAAATATTAAAATGCTTTTAAAGTTACAATAGCAACAAGTACTCTCCAGTTTCTGGGATAAATTTGACAAAAATATACGAGACACTTAGAGAAAAAGTTACAAACCTTTACTGAAAGACTTTAAATGTAACTAGATGGAGAATAAAACCTCAAAAGTGTAAACAATTTTCTCCCAAATTAATCTTCAAATTCAATGAAATTCCAATCCAAATGCCCATTAGATTTCTCAAAGAACTTAATAAACTGATCTTAAAAGTCACATGGAAGGCTAAGTGACCAAAAATAGTCTAAACCAAGGGATAGCCAGATAATACGTGTTTTAGGCTTTGCAGGCTCCATAGGTCCCTGTCACGTATTGTTCTTCTATTTGTTTGCAAATAACTATCCTTAGCTCTTAGGCCATAATTTGCCCACCCTTGGTCTAAACCATTTCAAAGAAAGAGCAGTAAATTTGCAAGAGGTTGGTAGGATTTGTCTTATCAGAGACAAAGGTTTATTTTATTTTATTTTATTTTAATTTTTTTGAGATGGAGTCTTGCTCTGTTGCCCAGGCTGGAGTGCAGTGGTGCGATCTTGGCTCACTGCAAGCTCCACCTCCCGGGTTCACGCCATTCTCCTGCCTCAGCCTCCCGAGTAGCTGGGACTACAGGCACCCACCACCATGCCCGGCTAATTTTTTGTATTTTTTTAGTAGAGATGGGATTTCACCATGTTAGCCAGGATAGTCTTGATCTCCTGACCTCGTGATGCGCCTGCCTCAGCCTCCGAAAGTGCTGGGATTACAGGCATGAGCCACCGCGCCCGGCCAGATGAAGGTTTCTTACAGAGCTATCAGAATACAGAGTTTGTGATACTGCACAGGCATACGAAGTGGACAAACAAAAAGCCCCTAATCAGGTTAATGCATGTAGGAAAACCTGATATGTGAGAGAGATGATGTTATAATCATTGAAGGAAGAATGAACTGCCCAGTAAGTGGTCCAGGGAAAATTCCTAATCTATACAGAAACAAACAAAGAAAAACACAAAACAAAATTAGATTCCCCATCTCTCATACTAAACCAAAATAAATTGTCAGGGGATTTAAACTCAAAGTAAAAGTCAAACTTGAAAATTTCATTAAGGGAATATAAGAGAATATCTTTATCACCTTGCAATAGAGAAAATTTCCCAAATAAAATACAAAAGGCACAAATCCAAGAGGAAAAATAATTTTGATTACATTATATGTAAAGAATCAGCTGTTCATTAGAAGACTCCATAAGCAAAATTCATAGACAAACAAGAGACTGGGAGAAATTGTCAAAACGTGAAACCATCAAAGAAAAATCAATGTGAAAAAGACAAAGATCTCAGAAGAACTGGAAAGCAAATGAACAGTCAAATTTCAGAAGTAGAAACCCAAATAGCCTATAAACATGTGAAACAACTATAAAATATAATTTCACAGCTGTCATTTTGACCAACATTTAATTTAATTTTATTTTTGAGACATGGTCTCACTGTCGCCGGGCCGGAGTGCAGTGGCGTAATCATGGCCTCAACCTCCCAGGCTCAGGTGATCCTCCCACCTTAGCCTCACAAGTAGCTGGGACTACAGGCACGTGCCACCATGCCAGGCTAGTTTTTTGTATTTTTTGTACAGACAGGGTTTCGCATGTTGCCCAGGCTTGAACCCTTGGGCTCAAGCAATTTTCCTGCCTTGGCCTCCCAAAGTGCTGGGATTAGAGGCATGAGCCTTGGCCAACATATTAATCTAACTAAATGCCGAAGACAAGATGGATAAATGAGAAGCTATACAGTCCTGGTGGGTGTTCATATACATATATGGGGGAAATGATTATTTTAATCTGCAGAAAAGGTTGTTTTTCTCTTGGGAAACACAGCAGACGGAAATGCAGAGTTGTTCTATAGGTCCTTGCTCCTGTGCCCTGCTCCTTCCCCCTCTTGTGTTCCCACCCCGGGCACTGAAGCTCTGATTCCCTTTCCCTGTGTCCTCTATAGGTCTGACTACCTTGCCATCCCATCTGAGAACAAGGAGAACTCTGCAGTACCAGTGGAGGAATAGAACAGGAGCAGTGTGACATGAGGTGACCTACAGGAACATGGGAGGGGAAGGCAGATGTGGATGGCAGGTTGTACAAGTGACTTCGTTGCCCACAACTGAAGTGACTTTACATTTGGTCCCTTAGGTCACTGTCTACCCTGCCTGGGGTCCCCGCCCTCAGGGTAATTCTTTAAGCCACAAAGCTCTGTATGACGTCAGTGCTTCAGAAGGGAACTGCTTTGGCCTGAGGGTCGAGGCAACCTGAACTTGCCCATGGTAACAGAGGCATAGGATTCTCCAACTCCCTTCTTTGGTCAAAGAATTTTGGGGCTGGGCTGGGCTGGGCTGGGTGGCAAATTCTCAGTGAGTTATTTTGTCTTTGGTAGGTGGCCTGAACACCTGAGGGACTGGACATCCCATGTTCAGCAATGTCAATGGCATCAGGAGGGTGCCCCAAGGGCCCCATTGCATCCCTTCATGCATCCATCCTTCTATTCATTCATCCATACATCCACCTGCCTCTGAGCTTTCACCTCTGACTTCCTAACTCCATCAGACCTCTACGTACCATAAGACTCTGCCAGAACCGAGAAGCCAACATTTCTACATAGACTCAACCTCACCCTGTCCTAGTTTTCGAACAAGACACTCCAAAGCCAACTGGATTTCTCCCCTGTGCTCCAAATGACTTTGTACAAGTGCTGGAGTTAGCACCTCCCTCTGCCCTTAACTGGCTGGAACTGGTTCATTCTCCATTACTGCAAGAGAATGGATGTCTTAATAGAAGGAAGCAGGAGTGATTAGTTCGGGTTACAGCAAAAGTGTGTCATGAACTTGGATTCCTTGAAGTCAGTTTTGTCAAGTTCATGGCCCACTTTGCTACAGCATCAGAGTGAAACATGCCTGTCTAGGTTCTCCCATGACAGAAAGATCCTGAAGCATGGACTAACGTGCTCTCTGGAGCTTAATTCTCCTGAGCTAGATCCTGATGGGTCTCTAAGCTACCCTCCAAGAAGACAAGGACAGGAGACTTGGGAAGGACCAATGGTAATTTAAGTGGCTCTTCAAAAGTCATGCAACATGTTTCTGAACACGTTCTTGATCCTATTGCGAGAATGTATGTGTGCCCTCCCTGTGGGCACACTACCTGGGCATTAGGACTGAAATTCCTGAGTTCTTCCTCTCAAAATTTCTGTGCCACCAGTATTATTCCTCATTTTACAAATAGGAGGCAACTAAGACTCATACAGGGCTAACTGAATAAGAGGCTTAAGAGGATAAACTGGAGCAGAAATAAGCCTTAGGTGCTGCCCAGTTTACACTTCCTGGGATGGATTTTTTTGTTTGTTTTGTTTTTTGTTTGAGATGGAGCCTCTGTCACCTAGGCTAGAGTGCAGTGGTGTGATCTCAGCTCACTGCAACCTCTGCCTCTTGGGTTCAAGCGATTCTCATGCCTCAGCCTCTCCAGTAGCTGTGATTACAGGCATGCACCACCACGCCTGGCTAAATTTTGCATTTTTAGTACAGACGGGGTTTCACTATGTTGGCCAGGCTAGTCTCGAACTCCTGACCTCAAATGACCCACCCACCTCAGCCTCCCAAAGTACTGGGATTACAGGCGTGAGGCACTGTGCCCAGTGGATAACTTTGTTTCTGGAAAGACTGACATTGGACTTGTCTATGGCAATGCTTCTTTCACAAGCACACACTGGGCTGAGGTCAACTCTGATAGATTCAGATTACTAGAAATTGGCCAAAAAAGCAGAGAGAAGAACATGAGGTAGACTTAAAGAACTTCCTTTATGTAAAGATTTGTGAAATACCCTCCAGAAAGAGAGTGCATCTGAGAATGATATTTAAACTAAGAAAAATGTTTAGTCTGAGATGAATCATGAGCAAATAAGTGGTATGAGAGGGGAGGGATGGGTAGGTGGTTTCCAAATACTTCACTTATGAATGCATAATTTTCAGATTTTTTCCCCTAGCTTTTAAGGGAGCAGAGAAACTGGAAAAAATTTTAGTCGATATCTCGTGTTTCATTTTAATTGAGTGACAGGTCCAAGTGTGACCTCCTTCAGCACCTAGGGACAAGAGAGGGCAAAGATGCTTTACAGAATGTAAGAAGATGAAGGTGACTGGGATTCAGTGAGAGAGAAGTCCCTCAGATCTGGGACCTCCCTTTATAGGGAAAGACCATAATCCATTGGTTTAGAGCTTTACTTTAAAAGCTTTTTTTTTTTTTTTCTTTTCATTCTTCCATCCTAGGAGAGTACTTAAAACCAGACTTTTTTTTTTTTTTTTTTTGAGACAGAGCCTCACTCTGTCTTCCAGGCTAGAGTGCAGTGGCGCAATCTCAGATCACTGCAGCCTCAACTGCCCCAGGTTTAAGCAATCCTCCCACCTCAGCCCCCAGGTAACTGGGACTACAGGCATGCACCACTATGCCTGGCTAATTTTTGTATTTTTTGTAGAGACAGGGGTCTTGCCATGTTGCCCAGGCTGATCTTGAACTCCTGGGCTCAAGCAATCCGCCAGCCGCAGCCTCTCAAAGCACTGGGATTACAGACATGAGCAACCGTGCCTGGTCCCAAACTAGACCGTTAACACATTAAAGAGTCTGATTTTGTTGAAGAAAATATTTGCAATAAATTCAAGACTCTTCTTATTGGTAATTTTCCACACAGTCCCTCTGAAATTAGGTAGAGAATATAGATCTTTTTAACTTTGTAGTTAGGAAAATTGGCCTTAGTGTGACATTTTTCCAGTCCATAGCTCGTGGATACCACAACTTGCGGTAGTAGAAAGATACTTACTACCACTGCGTTTTCCTCAGTGTTCCAATAGCTCTTGTATCTAAGTTGAAACAGGCAGTATGCATGATTGCCTTTTTCTCTTCTTTTTTAAAAAACCCAACTCAGATGCTGCTTGCATGGCTTTTAATGAAGCTGAATGGTACCTATCACTTATTTATCCTTGACAAGTTATCTTCCACACTCTTTCTAACTTCTCCATTCTTCTCATTCTTGACACTTTCATTAGAACTATATGGTTTACAAAGTATTTTCACTTAACTATTTTATTTCTTCTCTATAACTGGTCCTTTGAGGTCAATATTATGAATACTCACATTACAAAAGAAGAAACTGAGGCTCTCTGAGGTTAAGTAACTTTACTAAATTATAAGGAAACCTAGCTGGTAGGTAGACGGCAAGAATCCAGGTCTTCTGACTCCTCTTTCAGTTCTCTTTCCACTTAGACCATAGCTGCTTCGTTTTCTTATTTTTTAGCTTCCATCTAACCATTGCCTGTCTTGCCTGTCCTAATGTTCTCCATCTTCTCTCACCCCTAATCCCACTCACTGCTTCTCTACTACTTTGCTTTTTGGTGGATGCTAGCAATGTGCTTTGAGAGTCGGTCCTATTTTGGTTCTCTTTCTAGTTGGTTTGTGCATCATCATTTCTCCTGAATTGCAACGAAACTCCTTCCTGGGAGATTTGATCATGACTGTAAATCAACAAGGTACTGTGATCACCAGCCTACTTCCAATCTCCACCCACCTCCCTGTCTCTTCCCATAATCTTATAAAAGACCCAGACTAGATGTGTGTTTCTCTGGAAGCTTTATCTGGCCTGATGTTGCTTATTAAAGGGCTTAGAAGAGTTCTCAAGGGCTATTATTATCACTTTGGAAACCCCATCTGTTGTCTTGGTGCTGGATATTTCCCATGTCTGATCCTCGGTAACACAATTCACTAAAGGCCAAGCTTGGCTCAGTCTGATTTTCCCGTTCTTACTGCTTCACAGCCATGAATGTGATTGCTCAATCCAGTTGGCCCCAAGAGCACCTTGCCCTGTTGACCTTCACTGTCACCTCAGTCTTGAATCAGAGCACCAACCTCAAACACTCCTTGCCTGTCCCTACCCCAGCCTTTATTCTCACCACTTGTTTAATGGCATGCCCCTTTAGTTTCTCCATTCCCAAACACCCACACACTCAGACTTCCTTCTCAGTTGCAGGTTTCTCCTTAGATGTTCACCTAGAAATATTACTAGGAAAGTCACTTTTCAAAGCAGGAATATGCTGGGAAGTGTGAAGAGCAGTGCATGGTTAAGAGACAGCAGCTCCCTCCTCTCTCCCCAAAATTATTGGATCAAAACAAGAAATTCCACCCATCTCAGAATCTGTGAGTCCTCCTCACATAAATCTGAGGGAAAAGGCTGTGCCATTTCATCTTTGCAGGAAGAAAGAGAAGCAAGAGCTAGACACACTTCAGAATATATCTTAGTTTGTCCTTTCCCAATTTAACATGAAAATGAAAAAACAAGAACAAAAAAACAAAAGAAGCCTTCCTCTCACCTCATTTTGTAAATGAAAAATCCCTAATTCAGTGAATTCACCTAGTCACTGCAAATGTATCTGAATAGTGCTTGGTGTGCTTGCCAGTCTGATCATCCACTCATTCTAGTAACATCTTTTTGCACCCACTCTGTCAAGCGCTAGCCTAGACCTTCAGTGTGCTATGCAGTCATCAGTCTGAAAAACAGCATCATCCAAACCCTACTTAATCTCTAAAATCTCAGCTGGTGGACAGCTCATGATTAATCCAGCCCACTTCCTCCCCCTTAGTTGAGTTCGCAGCAAGACTCAGGAGATAAGCACTTCCAAGCAAGTCTGATTTATACATCAAACTCGGGTCTCCAGCCCAGGCCAGCTAACCCTCAGAGCCAGCAATGCTCTGTGCTTCCTCCCTGTGTCACCGCTTGGCAAGAGCTGCCTCTGCTCAGCAGTGTGTGTGATGGAGAGGGAGGCCGCTGAAGGCCAAGTGCTTGCAGGCTTGTGAACCGCCATCCAACACAATCCACACCCTCTTAGTCTTGCAACAGATAGAAGTATTTTCCATGTTATCATCTTCATATTGCTTTTTCTTGATTTTCCACAGCCAACCACCTAAGCCCTCAACAACATAATGCCTGTATGTGCTATTTTTCAGTAAACTCCTTGTTCATGTCAATAAAGTATCCCTAAAAACCACTCTCTTTGGTTTTGTTCCACTTACTGTGTCTGCCCCATAGACTATGCCTTCCCCCAGCACCTCAGCCTGCTTCATATTCCCGTACTCAATCTGTGGATATGCATGAGAATGAAAACCATGTAATAGCCTCACATTAAACACACACTAAATGTGTGATCTGGCCTCTCTGCTTCCCTTTCCTCCTCTACCCTAATACAAAGGAACACAAGAGTCACTTATGTTCTTGCCTGACATCAAACAAGTTTCCTAACCAGGTAGCAAGGAGCTCCCTGCAAGGCTGACCTAATGAAGGGAGAAGCCAATCTGGCTCTCAGCTCCACCAGTTTAGGGAACATAAAAGAAGAAGGCAAAGCAGTCTCTCAACATTCATCTTCCTGGAAGTGTTAAGGCCCGAAGAGGGAAAAGTTCAACAAGAAACCATCATCAGGATTCACAGTTCATCACAGTCTCCTAAAACAACAGTACTACTCATCATAAGAGTAAAAATCGGCCAGACGCAGTGGCTCACACCTGTAATCCCAGCACTTTGGGAGACTGAGGCAGGCGGATCACCTGAGGTCGGGAGTTCAAGACCAGCCTGGCCAACATGTTGAAACCCCATCTCTACTAAAAATACAAAAATTAGCCAGGCGTGGTGGCAGGTGCCTGTAGTCCCAGCTACTCGGGATGCTAAGGCAGAAGAATTGCTTAAACCCAGAAGGCGGAGGTTGCAGTGAGCTGAGATCACGCCATTGCACTCCAGTCTGGGCAACAAGAGTGAAATTCCATCTCAAAAAGAAACAAACAAAAAAAAAGATTAATCATCCCAACACTTTGGTAAGCTGAGGCGGGAGGATCACTCGAGGCCAGGAGTCTAAGACAAGCCTGAGCAACATAGTGAGACCCCATCTCTAAAAAAAAGAAAAAAAAAAGCCTGGCATGGTGGTGTGTGCCTGTAGCCCCAACTACTCAGGACGCTGAGGTGGGAAGAACACTTGCGCTCAGGAGATCAAGGCTGCAGTGGCCATGATTGCACCACTACTGGTGCAATGATTACTCCAGCCTGGGTCACAGTGAGACCGTCTCAAAACAAAAGAAAATATTTTAGTATAATACCAGCTGCCATACTAAGAACGATGTGTTTTTTAAATGTATTATCTCTGACACACTGAGGCTTGGAGTGACAGATGGGGCGTACGGCCACACAGCTGGTAAACAGTGATGCTGCACTTTGTACTCAGATCTGACTCCGAAACTTATCCATTCCAGTCGATCCGGCGGCCTCCCTCCCGCCTGTGAGAAGGTGGATGGCCGCGTGTATGTGTGTGTGTGTGTGTACAAGTGTACCTACACGCATGCCTTCAGGACCTGCTGTGAGTCCACTTGGCAAGACCAGAAACATCTGAGGTGACGAGCACTCATAAATCAAGCAATAAACACGCACACCATTTATTATTGTAGTTCAATACTTTTTTCTTTTTAATTCATACTGTACTTCCATGGCTCTAGCTACTTTACATTAAGATTTGGCTGGGCAGCCTTGTGTGTTTCTAGGTACTAGCAGTAAGTGTTCCGACCTTGCGCACAGCGCCAGGCAAAGTACAGTTATAGATCCAAATACAGACGGCCAGACAACTCGACTGCACTCGACCCGTGTTCTTTCCCATAGATGGCCCAGTGCAGGTGTTGGGGCTGCTCCCTCTGCCTCACCCCACTCCACCTCATGTCAGGATTATCCAGGGGCCACTATGGCCTCTGACCCATCCCTCCCCACCTTGGAGTCTAGGTTGAGTTGGGGAAAAAGCACCATGGGTTTGGGAAGATGGTCTGGTCCATGCAGAGAGTGGTCTGGCCTTTAAGTGCAGGGTAGGAAAATGTGGGGAGCCACAAGCTATTGTTGGCAAAAATGGCTGCTTTGACTATGCAATCTCAGCACGTGGCACCCAAGCCCCAGGCCAATGCCCCAGTCAGCTGCCTTGCCTGGAGCAGAGGCCACCCTTTTGCTTCTGCAATGTCTTATTGTATTGAGAGAAGCAAGGAGGGCTGAAGAATGATAATGTTCTTTAAGCCTTCAAATGTTGGGGAGATCGTCCAGCATCAGCTCCTCCTGGCCGGCAAGGTGCTGCTCATCAGCTGCCAAGACTCCAGTCCGGGCTCCAGGGCCTGCTGAGGATCTCCAGTCACAAGACCCCAGAGCTGTTGCACAGAACATCAAAACAGGGAGCTGGCTGGGCCCTTCACAACCATGGCCAGAGCAGAAGTGAGGTAACAAGGCTGGGCAGAGCGGTGGGAAAGGAGCGCTCTAAACAGTGTGCAAATTCCTGCTCTGCACTATGACAGCAAGCAGGGGTCTTAAAAGATGGCCTTCCAGGAAAATGCTCCTCTCAGACCCAAAATGCATCTTCTGGAAGAAAACACAGAGGTGAAGGGGATTGGGGCCAACCTGCTGGAGGTTGGGGGAATGAAAGTCAAGGATGTGAAGTGGTGAATGGGATGATTGTTCCATAGACTAGAGACAAGTGGTGAGGGTGGGGAAGAGTCAGGAAGGGGCCCTGGAGTTTCCTCCTGGAGGAGGCAGGCAGGGTATGAGGTGTAGGGAGACCACAGCCCTGCCATCTGGGGGAGGGAGAAGAGTGCTATTTCTCCTGGGGGCAGTAGGAGAAAAGGGCTGGCTTTGGCTGCCCTGCAGAGCTTAAAGCAGCGACATGGTATGGCACAGAAAGTACCCTTCTGGGACCACAAGCATCCAGAAAGATACTTCCCCTAGTCCCTTCTCCAGGACCTCATCCTAGGGATGCTGCCTGGAAATGTAATAGGTATAGTTCAAGTTTGGGTGGGGGCAAGAGAGAATCCACTTCTCACAAAGCACTCCTCTTGAGCTCTCTTGGTCCTCGCCATGTCAGTGTAGGTTCTTAGTGTCAGTGCTCTAAGGCAAACCCAAGAGTTTTAGCCAAAGCTTCACACTAAATCCAAACCCTATCTAGACCAAAGAGAAGTGCTAGGACCAGAAGTGGTTTCTCTCCACTGTTTCTTCTACCAGTAAGGAGGAAGGACAGACAGATGAAAGGCTTCACAGAGCCTAGAGATAGAAGATGAGCTCCATTGAAAAGAATGTTCTTCTCCCAACTCAGAGAAAGTCCAAAGGAAGATCCCTCCACAAACTAGGCCAAAGAAGGAAGAAACTCTTCTAGGTGAATACTGAGCAATACATCAAGCTCGCTCGATCTCTCTCTCTCTCTCTCTCTCTCTCTCTCTCCCCCCCTCTACTGGGCGTCCCCAGCCCTCCGAGCCACCTAAAGAATATATTTTAACCACCCTGGGTCTCCTGGGAATGCAAACACTGCCCTACCACGCCTCTAAATACTGGGAAGCTTCAGCCTCTGGGCTTGTTCCCTCCTGGCAGAGTAACTGAGAAATTGCACTCAGTCTTCTCAGCCTCTGGCCTAACCCTCAAGATGATGTCAAAGCTAGAACCTACCTTAAAGATGATCTAGCCCCACTCCCTCCTGTGACAGGAGGATACTGAAGCTCAGAGACAGAATGACTTGCCCAAGGCCACAGAGCTTAGTCAGTGGAAAAATCAGGACCCAGGCCCAGGTCTCCAAACCATCAGTGCAGTGCTCTTATACAGAGCTTCAAGCAGCTGATCTTGCTGGCCTGAGATGTAATCCTCTTGTCCCCAAAGAGGTGGATGGGGAAAGGAGAGAGTCACACCCATGATTAGCTTGTCTGAGGCCAGTCTTGTCAATGCTTTCACAGTAAGCTGTAATGGAACTTTAGATCCTATAGTAGTTCTTCACCTCGTTAGAAACTGCAAATTCTTTAAAACTGAGTGCAAACTCTCAAACATTGTACCACATAAGTCATTACAGAAAGACTCCTGTGTGTCCCTAGTAAACAAAAACAAACACAAAAAGCACTGGCTGGAAGAAGTTACATAAGTAGTGATTTTTTGATGCTCCCTTGTAGACAGCAACTAGCCAGGCTAATGGCCAGGAATACAATGCTATTTATTTGTTTCACTCCCAGACTTATCTGCAAGGGTGAGTTAAGATCTCTTTCACAAGCTATTAACCAAGGGGGAAGAGATTTTGTTTGGGAATGAATAGAGTTGTGGGTTTTCTCCTGGTATGATAGTCAAAAAATTATTGGAACAGAGAGAGCCTACAAGAGACCCACAATTCTTAAAGGGCATTCCCTATGTGCACACATTGTCTACTGGGTTCAAATCACTAAAAAACCAGGAGGGTTCTTCTGATATACTCAGTACTGCCCTCCCTGCCACCTTCTCCTGCTGGGAATGGTCCTGAGAGGTAAAGCAGAAGCAGAACAACTCCCTGCTGCCAGGTCTGCTCTGTCACTTGACTCCAAACAAAGAATCCTTTTAAAGTCATCCCACAGGTTCCACCATGGCACCTTTCATAATTAAATAACTTAAGTAAATAATTATGTATGGAATAAATTCGGGAATCTCCAATTTTTGCATTCAAAACTTTCTGGGAATAGTTTTGGCTTCTGACTGTGCCAAGGGGGAGATTTCCAGCAGTCTGCACCATGCCTCCTTCTTTGGCTCAGAGCCCATGAGCCTTGATCCCTACCAGTGTCCCTTACCCAAAGTCCTAGACAAGAACTGAACAAGGACACACTGGGCTGTGCGCGTAGGCACTCTTCACAGGGATTACATGAAACTGCATTTCCTTCCATCTCCTCTTCTAGGGGAGGAATACCTGCTCTGGCTGATGACTTGGAGCCTCCTCACCCTCCTCCCTTGGAGGATCCTGCCCTTAGGGAAATACCAAGGCCTTATCTTCACATGGAAAAGTCAGAAACTGTAATTGCCACAGGGAATTAAAGGCCATTCTAAAAGAAAAATACAACTTTGTGGGGTAGATGAGTGATAAAATCTTCTGTCTTTTGGGCTGATGTTCTGGGACATCTGGGACATCTGGAGTTCCTTCTGCCCCTGCATCAAGAAGCCCAGGAGAAGAACAAGCAAGACTGAAGAGCTCTGCATGCCCAATGGGCTGTGACTCTTTCATGAATCTCCACAAGCTCTGCCTGGAGCTGGTGGGACTCTTTTGATCATTATATGAAGAAATAGTAGTTAGTATATGAGGGATGATGAATGTGCCCAGAGGGCCCTGTGAATTCAGATAAATGCATGGTGCTAGTGGGCCAACGCTGAAAAGGCCCTGAATGTCTCACTCTTTGAAGCCAGTGCCTTCTACTCCTTAATGATCTTACACCTCTGTGGGGCCAGAGACCAGAGCAGGATTTGTACTCCACCCCCTGCCAGAGCCCCCATTCCCAAGTCTGAGAAACTCAGGATTTGGAATGACTCCCTTGGGGCATAGATTTCACTTGGCCTTTTCCTGCCCAAACACATGCACCTTTGCCAGTTCCTTCCCTCCAATGGCTTAGATGCTTTTTCCATGTGCAAGCTATCTCAGACAGTTGTCTCCATTGGCGAATGCTGGTTCATTCCAAGAGCAAATGACGCTGGCAACCCATCTTGTTGCTCACCACTCACAGTGTTCTGTGGGTAAACCCTGCACCCCGGACGTAGCGAGGGCCTTCTCTTCCTCTCTCAAATCCTGGAGGGCCCAGCACACCCTGACTTATCCTGGAAATCACACTGACAGCTCCAAGTGAACGCCTCAGAGCCACACACCTGACTTGCTTAGAAGCACTAAAAGAGGTTTAATAAGGTCAAAAATGCTCCACCCTGGCTAATAAACAATGTGCTCTTAGGGCACAGAAAACAATAGGACTTTAGGCACTAAAAAGTGACACTTCGCCCAGATCCAGCCTGGGAGAAGACCAGAGAGAAAGTGGGTGGGAAAGTAAGAAATTCCCAGCCCTTACTGCGTCCACACCCTACATAGGTCGGAGGACGGTGCAGGGGTGATGGAGGAGAGTATCCTTCAGAACACGGGTCTTGGGAGCCTGCCACCCCCCAATGCAGCCTTCCTAGCTTTCCAAGCATCCTCTCCATCTGAGGCTCAGTACGGTCCGGATCAAGTGGGCGGCCAACCCTAAGAGTTTAGACTGGGCTCCCTTGATGTTTCTGTGTTCCCAAGAGAATGCCTGGGGAAGCCTGGGGTAGGGAAGAAAAGATTCTCTTTTATTTTGGAAACAAATCAAAAGGGGATCAGGGAACGAAGCACCTTAAGCAATGCCGTCTTGAGACTTCTTTTTGAGACCCTAGGGTCTTCACAGGCATAACTTTGGCTCAACATTTCCCTTCTAAGAGCCAAGAATGGCCAGCAAGGGAAGGGGTGGGGAACAGAGGGTGGGAGGAGGGAGATCAGGGTGGTCAGTGCTGAGAGGCGGTTCCTGCCCTCCTCAGCTGCCCCACCCCAGGAAAACGCTGCTCCGGCCAGCACAGGGAGCGGGAGGGCCCGCTCCTTCTCCCTGGTACATAGGCATTATCTCTTTTTTAAAATCTGTATATAATATATATATTTATATTCTGTATATATATATATTTATATATATATTTATATGGTCTATGTACATGTATTGCACAGGCCTCTTGCAGCCACCCTGTTCCTGCCTTGTCAATGATAGCGATTCCTCTTTTCTTCACTTTCCGACGTGTAGTCGCGGGACCTGATGCCATTCTGAAGGTTGATGAGCGAGTCCTTCATCTGCAAGACAGAAAACCCCACCCCAGGCCTGGGTCTGCGCTTTCAGTGGGATTCTCCACCGAGCAGCCCTCTCCCCACACCCGCCTAGGGCAGGCCTCCAACCACGCCATGGGGCTGAAAAGAGTTGGGCACCTAAAGCAAGGCTGGTTCTCTGGGCACGCTGTTTCAAGTAGAAAGGGGACAGTCAGGCTGGGCGCGGTGACTCACACCTGTAATCCCAGCACTTTGGGAGGCAGAGGTGGGAGGATCGCTTGAGGCCAGGAGTTTCAGACCAGCCTGGGTCACACAGAGAGACCCCATCTCTATAAAAAATTTAAAAATTAGCCAGCCCCTGTGATATGCACCTGTAGTCCTAACTACTCAGGAGGCTGGGATGGGAGGATGGCTTGAACCCGGGAGTTCGCAACTGCAGAGAACTATGACTGCACCACTGCACTCCAGCCTGGGCAGCAGAGCAAGACTCTGCCTCTTAAAAAAAGAGAGAGACAGAGAGGGACAAGGAGAGGGAGAGAGAAATAAAAGAAAAAAAGAGAGGAAGAAAGAAAGGAGACAGACAATCTAGCATGGGAAGCCCTTGGGTAGGGCTTACTGGGTCTCAGTGCTGAATCGAGAACTCTCTTGAAGTGTTCAACTGCTACAAAGAGCCTCTCAGGCTGTCACTGACTTGATCTACTCGTTTCATCTGGTTTCCCTGATGATCCCTAATATACCACATGCCTGTCTTTGTACATTTAGCCACACTGTTCCCCCCACCTGGGAATCTTTGTGCTCTTGCCTATGCCAATCTCACCCATCTGCTAAGGCTCAGAATAGATCCAAACTTCCTCCAGCTCTCAGTCATCCCTCTCCTTCATGGTCTCTCACACAGCACACTCAGGCTCTGGACTTCAGTCATCTTTCGTTGCTTGGTTTCATGTTTGCAAGGACTAGAACGGTGTCTAATCCTTCTCTTGTGCACCCAGGGGCACCACGCAGAGAACTGGGTAGGTTCCTATTAGGTACCCATATCAGCAAATTAACATTTTTAGGTCACAGAGTGCAGTCTAAATGGGAGACTAGAATGGAGCCCGGCAGGAGAATTCTAAAATGGCCCATCACACCACATATTTAAATACTCACATATTTACATACTGTCTCTGGGTAAACTGCTCTGTCACAACATAAGACAACATTTCTGGGGTAAACGGTTACAGATTTGGGGAAAGTCTGGTCTCCCTGCTTAGTCTACCACTTTCTCCTCTCTAGTTCATTTATATCTTCTGCTCAAGACAGAGGAGGAGGCCATTCTGTTATTTTAAAAGTTACTTTTAAAGAGATTGAAACAAAACAACTCTCTTAATACTTATCGTGTAGAGTCCACTAGGCTATAAGTCTGACAGCCCCAACCCCCAAGTTAATGGGCCCCATTCTGAAACAGAATTCTAGAGTTGGAAGAGACCCCTGGGTCATCTAGTCCAAATGTCCCAATTTAATCGATAAGTTCTTTATCCATCATCATCTAGTTACCCCCTGAACACTTTCAATGTCGGAATCTCAGTTCTCTACAGTAGCCTGTTTCATTGCTGGACAGCATTAGCCACAAGTTGTCTGCAGTTGATGATGAAGAAAAATTACTTTCTTAAACTTCTAGCCCAAGTTCAGTGCTCTGGAGTTTTTCAGTAAGTCTAACCCTTGACACCTGTTGGCCTAGATGTCTGAAGACCACCCTGTTCTCCTCACCCCCGTGTTCCCTTCTCCTGGGTTTGTCCTCAGTGCCATCAACCATTCTTGAAATGGTAGGGCTTCTAAACTCCTCACTATGCTTTTTGTCTTCTTTTGGTTAAAAAAAAAAATGCCCTCCTTAAGTATAGTGACAAAGCTAAACACATCCAACTGGGTCCTGATAGCTGCATTAAGATTCTTTTCCCTTTTTTTTTTTTTTTTTTGAGATGAAGTCTCACTCTGTCGCCCAGGCTGGAGTGCAGTGGCGCTATCTCAGCTCATTGAAACCTCCGCCTCCCAGGTTCAAGCAATTCTCCTGCCTTAGCCTCCCAAGCAGCTGGGATTACAGGCGTGCGCCACCATGCCCGGCTAATTTTTATATTTTGAGTAGAGACAAGGTTTTGCCATGTTGGCCAGGCTGGTCTCAAACTCCTGACCTCCAGTGATCTGCCCTCTTCGGCCTCCCAAAGTGCTGGGATTATAGGCATGAGCCACCACGCCCGGCCTCTTTCTCCTTATTTAGAGCTAAGACCAAAGAATGCAAGGAAATAAAGTTTAATTTTAATGAGCACCACCCATATGCCATCAAATCCTGATGACAGTTCCATGAAGCTACGATTACAATTCCTATTTTATAAATGAAGAAATGGAAGCTCAAGGTCCCTTGCTCATGGTCACAAAATTAGTTAGTGGCAAGGCTGGGATGCCATCTCTGGCTGGTCACAAAACGTCAGAAAGTCAACTCTTCAGGGAGAGAAGCTGTCATGTAGCAGGGTAAACTGTGAGTCTATCACTTTCTAATTCTCTTGCACAGCAGAGGCAGGTTCCTGCTCTCTAGGCAACCACATGGAGGCATATATTATAAGATACTAAACTATTCTGGGGAAGCAGGAAGCTCCCTCCCCCAAGGAAACTAAGCTAATTTTTGATTTTGCCTCAGGATGATTTGCCTAAATAGTTGATCTCGTTTTGCGGGGGGGAATACAGGCAAACTGTACGACAAAGATGATGCTACGACAAGAAGACAAAGTACAGCCATCTTCCCAGACTATCAGTGCAGTGCCACCTACTGTCAAAGGAGGGGGCGGTGAACATTTGAAAAAACTCAAAGACATGCCCTCTGGGAAGACAAATCTCTGTAAAAGGGTTGAGGGGGTTCTCTGTTTAAATGCCTGTCAGATGGTTATGGTTACCAAAAATAGAAATAAAAAGAGTTCTCCTTCCAACTAACCTACAGCTTTCCTGGTGCACATTCAGTGGGTCATTTTGTTGTTATTATTTTGTAGAATACACCTGCATTTCTAGCAGCCCACTCAAGGAAGGCTTTCCATTTAGAACAATGCATGGCTTGGAGGAAGAATGAATTGGAGGCAGAAGTCTGGAGGGTGGTGATAGAGACGAGGATCTTTCTCACAGCATAAGGGAAGGAGTCCCTGCTCCCAAAGACTGGGGCAAGCAGAGAAGGTGGGCATCTCACCTGGTCAAGGAGCATCACTGAGGATTTGATGATCTCCCTCCATTTTTGGAGCTCAGTATCGTGGTACTTTTGTTGGGACTCTAAGAGCTGGGCCCATTCTGTCTGAGACTGGGGTAACCTGTGGGGTAGAAGAAGGGGTACCCCAGCAGCTGGAGTTATGCTCAGCGAACTGTCCTGTGCTCCCAGACCCCTAAAGGACAGAGAGTCACATCAGAGTGCTTTGTCCTCTGCCCACTGCCCCTGGTTCCCCTGTGCCCCAGATCAGAAGTGGGCTGAAACTACAGGGAGAGATTCTGAGTTTCCCTGTGGGGTCTTCCCAGAGGGCTATCCCTTGGGCAAGGGCAGTGAGGCAGTCCCAGGGAGACTGGGAGACAGGTGTCATGGCACTGGGTGGGATGAAGGTAGAGGTGAGGGGACGAGGCCAGGATTACCTTTCTTGGAGCCTTAGACCCTGCCAAGCAGTGAGGGTCTGCGTGGTGTATTCCAACATCCAGAGTTTGTAGAAGAGCATCATGTTAAGGATGACCAGCAGCACCAGACTAGGAAGGAGACATGGGGAAAAAAACCAACAGCAGTGAGATGTCATCTGAGCCTAGGGCATCCCCCATCCCAGAGGCTGCTGTCCCTGACCAGTGGGCCATCCAAAGCATTGCAGTGAGTGAGTGAGCTGGAGGGATGCAGCACAGGGGAGAGAGAAAGAAGCAACCTAATCTGGACGGGCCAGGATACAGGGGAGAGCCATGGAGAGGGGCGTGGGATGAAGGCACTAGAAAGGAGAGATGCACAGGCACCAGAACCTGGGCACCTGGGGGAAGAGAGGTCTGGTGGGAAGGAAGAGAGATGAGGGGGTAAAGGAGTAATCATAGAGCCAGTACCTGAAACAGATCCTAATGGGAGCAAGGAAGAAAAATGGGGAGGAGGCAGAGGTTAGAAACAGGCAAGTGTGGGGAAGGGGAAAACTGCACTGAAAATCAAGCTGGGAGCGAGCGAGAGTATATGAGAAAAAAAAATACTAGAAGCAAAGACACAATGGATGAGAAGACCCAGCAAGGACAGGGCACGAGAAAGCAACAGACAGACTCTTAGTATTTCACGGGTGCTAAATTGAGAAAAGATTCCCCTTACCAACCCAACCTTAGGACGTAATTGAAGGGTGAGATGGAAGGAGGAATTCCACTGGGTCCCTAGCTCTGCCAAGGATACCTCTTACAGACATTAGCAGAACTTCTCGCAAGCTGCAAACTTCCCTGCCTCAACCTGATACCAGTGGGCAGGGATCATGGAGGCAGGCTGAGGTTTCCCAGAGTCTGGGTCAGAACTGGTGAGAGACAGGGGAGGCAAGGATCATCCAGGGGCTGGAGGGGCTGTGGGGAATGAGGAGTCACAGAGAGACTGCAGGAATTCCCTCCTTCTCTCAGCCTCACTGGCTGCCTAAACATCACTGTATTACAAGCTCATAGGATGGAGAGAGAAGACATCATCGTGGGTAGAGAGGATCCAGAGACACACAAAACTGGATGCAAACCCTGGCTCACCGCTTAAAACTCTCTTAACTTTTGATCAAGTTTCCTAGCTTCTCCGACCTAGGGACAGTAACACCTATCCTACTGGGATTGTTCTGTAGATGAAAGGGAATATATTGAAAAATATCGTGGCACACTATAGGCCCTACACAAAGGGTAGTTCTTATCACTAATGGGGGAGATGTGGACACACATAAGAAGAGAGAAGATGACAAAAAACGAGAAGATAGGCCGGGCATGGTGGCTCAAGCCTGTAATCCCAGCACTTTGGGAGGCCAAGGTGGGTGGATTGCTTGAGCTGGGAAGTTTGAAACCAGCCTGGGCAACACAGCAAAACCCCATTTCTACAAAAAAAATTTTAAAAAATTAGTCGGGTGTGGTGGCATGCACCTGTGGTCCCAGCTACTAGGGAAGCTGAGGCAGGAGGATTGCTTGAGCCTGGGAGGTGGAGGTTAGAGTGAGCTGAAATCATGCTACTGCATTCCAACCTGGGCAACAGAGTGAGAACCTGTCTCAAAAAAAA